TCTCAGTCAACCAGCATTTTTAATTTACCATCATCCCCTGGTCCTCCAGCATGCTGGATAAAAGGCTTTTATTGCAGATGGGATGGGATGGTGTTCTGTTACTCGCCTGCATTGATATTATATATTAAAATCATTTGAATTCCACATCATAAAAGAAGCTAACTTTGCACAGAAGCCAACAGGAGATGAATTTACTCAGCTCCTTGAAGGGCAGCATTTTTAATTTACCATCATCCCCTGGTCCTCCAGCATGCTGGATAAAAGGCTTTTATTGCAGATGGGATGGGATGGTGTTCTGTTACTCGCCTGCATTGATATTATATATTAAAATCATTTGAATTCCACATCATAAAAGAAGCTAACTTTGCACAGAAGCCAACAGGAGATGAATTTACTCAGCTCCTTGAAGGGAGGCATTCCCAGCAACATGCAGAATTTGGCACAAGGGACAACTAATGAGTGGATTCACTTTCGTGTGTTCTGTCTTACATAGGCTTTGGTGTCTTTCTTAATGCAAATACATAAATTTACACCTGAACACCAGAAAAATAACATGGGACAAAACATGTCAGGCTATTCAGAACATCTGGTACTGAAAACATAAACTCAAGGAAACAGAAATCACAGACGGGTAGTCATGTTAGTCTGTAACTTTAAAAACAAGGAGTAGTTCTGTGGCACCTTAAAAACTAGCAGAATTATACTGAAGCATGAGCTTTCGTGGGTAAAATCCACATCATTGGAAATAACAGAAACCAAGATATATAACAGCAGAAGAAGTACCTGTCAATTGTAGGACTCATGTTAATGAGGCTAATTAAGGGTCTACATTTCCACATCAAAAGCTATGTATGGGACACATCTAGCCCATTTAATTAGCTTCATTAACATAGATCCTATAATTGACAGGTACTTCTGTTATCTATCTATCTATCTATCTATCTATCTATCTATCTAACTTGGTTTCTGTTATTTCCATTTCAGTTCATCTAAGGATGTGGGTTTTACCCATGAAAGCTCATGATTCTAAATATTTTTGTTAGTCTCTAATGTGCCACAGGACCACTTGTTGTTTTCAAGGGAACAGAGTAGTCAGCATGCCTCTGCCTTTTTTAATGAATAAAGTATGTATTTGTTGTCATGGTGAGAATAACTTTCAGTGTACAAAAAAAAATGTTCATTATAAGGCAAATGTACATGGGAGAGAAATGCTTGTTCATTACTAAAGGATATTTACTTAGTTATAACTTGAAACAGGTAATCTATAATTTGGATAATGTGTCAGTTTGTGGTATAATTAACATACCATTAAGCAGGAGACGTGTAGTATATATTGATAGTAAAAATAGCAGTAACTAGACATCATCATTGTAACTATTAGACCATTTCCATATATTAGTGAGCCAAGAGAAACAGCAGTCATAATTACTGCAAAAATGTATAAAATAAAACAGTGAATTAATACAAAAGGCACAGACCTATTATTTTGCCAGAATCACTCTGGTACTAAGTCTTTATATGAAGCTGTAATCAGAAAATAAATGTGTGGTTAACATATTCTGTAGACATTTTTGTCAAAAGGGTTCACCTCTCTTTCACAAAACCAATATATTTTACTAGCATTGGCAATTTCTTACCTGTTAATTTGATTTCCCCAAGTCCTTTAATGTTAGCCCAGACAGCAGGTTCAAAAGTGATTCAATCACCAAACAGAGAGAAGGGGGAAAACAAAGCTCTAATAATGAAATTTCCCTAAAAGGGACCCTTTCTGGTTGATCCTGCTCTGTTACATACTTCCCAAACCATAGAAATTATTGCTACTTGGTTGACCCAACCAGTGAGTGAGGGGTCTTGCTGACTGTTTCCATTATGAGGGAACTTGATGCTGGAGTCAGGTATTTCTTTGATGCAATCCTGTTTATTTAAAAAGAGCACACATAAGATCTTGTTTCCCTAAACATAGTAGGAATCAAACAACAGGAGACAGTTTATTCGCTTGCAGTTTGAAGCATCTTTCAACCCAGCACTCTTCCCAAAAGCTCTCACTTAGCTTTTCTTCAGTTTCATGCTGCAAGTGATTCTCTAGCTGCTTCTGGAGATTATTGGATGTTTGTGAAGTGTTTCTGCTGCTTTCCTTATACACACAGCTCCCTCAATAACTCCCATTCAGCCCCACCCCCCCAGTCCACTGGTTCAGATTCCTGACTGCCCTTGCATGTGGCCTGAGTTTTCAGTGGTAGCTCCCATTGTTCAAGCTATCTATTACATTAAGGATTTTAATTGCTGTTTATATTTATCCTGAATCAAGGATAGCCAATACACCCACCAGCTTCACTAAGGTTTCACCCAGCCTCCAGCGACATTATACATCATTCCCGGAACTGTATGGAGATCCACAAACATAGCAAAAACTGAGCAAGGTGTCTAGACCTGAATAAAAGAAAAGGAAGAAACCAAGACGCACATTTCCAGTACAAGTATATAAAATGACTGTGCTACATAACAGTCATTAATGTCAACCAAGCCACATGTTTACTTCCTTATGTGTCAGTTTGAAAAATCTATTATCTAATCAGCAAGCAACTATCACAGGGGTGGCCAACCCATTTAACAAAGGAAGCCAAAACAGTGGCGGAAAAAATGCGAAGAGCTGCACCAGAATTGTCAAGCAAAAAAAAACAAAAACAAAAACAAAACACTAGAACAGAATTGTTGAGCAAAAGCAAAAAAAAATTTTTTTTTTTAAAAAGGAGGCTGACCCTTTAAGACAGCCATCATCTTGGGCACCATTTTTGAAAACCCTGCAGCTCCGACCCGGTAAGCACAGGGAAGCTGGGGAGAGCCTGCGGCTATTGGAGAGGGGTAGGGCCACAGGAGCAGCTTTGCGAGCCACATTTTTTGGGGGCAAGAGTCGCATGTGGCATGCAAGCTGCGGGTTGGCCACGGCTGAACTATCATTTTCCAAACACCCTCAAACCAGCACAGACAAGCTATGGGACATGAGAACTCCAACTCCAGGACAGAGAGAGTGGGTACCAAGAAGAAATGAGACACTAACAAATTACAACATTCAGGAAAGACCTACTAAAAGCAGAGTTTCCAAAGCTATGAAAAGATTTTACAGAGAAAATATCTCTCCTCTCAGCCTAAGGTGACAATGATGAATGTTCTAATCATTCATGGTAGAAGGAAGAACCTGACAGAAGAATGTGCTTCTTTAGTTTACACAGTCTCAAGTTCAACCAGAGGCATAGCTAGGGTGTTATGCGCCCAGGGTCAAAGGCAAAATTTGTGTCCCCCAATCATTTGTTACTACCCTTTATACATTCTAGTCTGTGCTAGGAGGGAAACATGCGAACAGGGTTTGGCTTGGACCCTCCGTGCTGCTCTTGTCCAGCCAAAGTGCAGAATTTTCCACATCAGAAGCAGGAACTCGCAGCCTGCAAGGTGAGCAGGGCCTGGTGGTTTGGGGTGACAATGAATCTCATCCCCCGAGGCCGGAGAATTGCTTGAGCCCCAGGCAGGGGCAGCGCA